GCTTGGAGCAACCTGCTCTAGTGGAAGGTGTCCCTGCCTGTGGCAGGGGTTGGAGCTGGAGGATCTTTAAGATCCTTTCCAACCCAAACCATTCTGGGATTCTATAACATGACCATCAATAGTATCATTAGGGCAAACAATACCAAGACAACTGTTTCATGACAAAGCACTACATGTATGTGCTGTCTTTGTAAGAGAAAAGATTAAATCATTGTCTTTGGCTGAGCGAAAGGAGCTCAACAAGAAGGCAGCAAGCCTGCAGGCTCTGTCCAAGGATTTCTAAATAGCTTTCTATTTTCTGTTACTAGAGGAATACTATGTAGTATTTCATGAATAACTTATAATCTGTACTTTTAACTTTAGTTTTAAAAAGCAGCCAGTGCTAATTGAGGCAGTAAAAGAACTGCTAGAAAAGGGAGTTTCTCACCAATGGATGTGCGCAAGCAGAAACAAAGGAGTAACTATTTGCCTGGGTATCTCCAACATAGAGTTCTATGTTATAGTAGTGTGTGAGTACAACATGATAGTAATTGAAGAAACTTGCATTAGGGAACTATCAATATTCCTAATATACAGATAGTGCAGAAGGGTGCCTCAAAAGTCACCATATGTGCCCAACATCAGCAGGGTAACAAGAACAGTGAAATAAACCCACATTTCCCTGGTCTCAGTCCAATGTTGTCAATAAAAAGCTTATTTTCTCTCTAGCCTTTTAGGTGTTTTGGTGTCCACAAATCTGGCATCTCTGCTCTGCGAGACAATTCTATTTGCAGACGCAAGTGTCACTGTTATTCATTTAATGTGGCTTCATTACAAACGTCCTCAGCTTCACTTCCCAGTCCAAATGAATCTTAGGTAAAACACAACTTAAACTCCTTTTATTTCTATATATTGACAGAGAAGCATCAACCAAAACTGTGCTTTAAATTTTATTTCCAGGGAACATTAATAAACCAAGCTTTGTGATACAGAAGTCACCAATTAAAGGAAGAAACTGATGGTTTGTCATTTATTCCTCTTGACTGTATCTTAAATCATGAACAGATTTTCAAGGCTGTAATAGCTGTTGCTTGGCTATCACTGAGCCCTGACTTCCATCAGTGAGCAGAGCAATGGAAATGATTGAGGATAACGTGAACCATATTGATTTGGTTTGTAAACCTGGTTTTAAAACATTAAACTATGTGAAAATTGTACTGTGGGAAGCAGCCTGAGCAAAGCCCAAAGCTTTCGGTGTTCAATCAGAGTTGCTCCTCCAGTTCCCAAGAGGTAATACTCCTGATGGCAGGGTTCACTATAAAAAGTCTCACAGTAAGGGAATGAAACTGAATGAGGGTAGGTTTAGATTAGATATTAGAAGAAGCTCTTCCCTGTGAGGGTGCTGAGGCGCTGGCACAGGGTGCCCAGAGAAGCTGTGGCTGCCCCATCCCTGGCAGTGTTCAAGGCCAGGTTGGACACAGGGGCTTGGAGCAACCTGCTCTAGTGGAAGATGTCCCTGCCCATGGCAGGGGGTTGGAACTGGGGGAGCTTTAAGGTCCCTTCAACACAAACCAGTCTGGGATTCTACGAGTAAAACTATCAAAATCTGTAATTCAGAATAAATACCAAGATTCCAGGTGATGTGAAGAACCCTCTGTGATCAAAACTGTTAGCGCTGGATCATTTCATCCAGGAGTCTGCCCTGTTCTGTTCTCTTCCATTTGATTCTATTTCATTCTATTCCACTCCATTCTACATAAACCCTGTGTCATGATGCACAAGATCCAAAATCTGGCTCTGTTGCAGACACAGGAGTTTGGAAGTGACACGGAAGCGACACATTGAAATAACAGGAAAAAACCTCCCCCTTGCTTTGCTGTGCACAAACACCACCAAAATGAACAGTCAATCCCCAACGAGGACCTGGATTGTCTATCAGGGAACTATGTTCTTGCCAAGAAGCCAGCAGGAAGAAGCAACTCCATATTGTCTACGAGAGAGCAGTGAAGGAGAGGAATGGCAAAATACTTCAGAAAAAGCACTACTGCACAGCTCTGAAGTCTATTCTCCACCATAAGAATCAAAACCCACAGAAGAGAAAGTAAAACCACTTATTTTAGGCTGAATTTGCCCTATCTGCTTATTTCATTCCTAAATGAATAATGAAGATGTTATTTGGCTCTAGACACCGCAGGGGAATAAAATGTCACCACCGCAGCTGCCAAATTTCCCGCTCCCAGCCCTTCAAATTAAGGACAAAAACCCACAATAGAAACACACAATTTGATTAGTAAAAGTTCAGATCTTTGCCCAAAGCCCAGCTCTTCCTGTAATATCGCATTCTTTTCTTCTTGTGTAAACTTCTCATTAGAGCAGAGACATCTTCATAATAGAATAATTCTGGTTGTAATGTAACTGCGGGTAACATAACTCCTACATTAGAAAAGGCAGCATGCTCTAGTAATGTTGGTTTAATGTAATTTGTGTACTGCAGGAACTGACTGAACCTGCTCATTTAGGATTTGATCAATGTGAATTAGTGTCTTAAAGAGATGAACCATTTGATAATTCAGAATTTGATCAATGTGAACCAGGACCTCGCCGAGATAAAACATTTATCATGGACATTTTGGAGTATCAGTCTAATCCAGGCAGCACTGGAAAAGGCAATAACCAGGCATCAATAAGGACTGCAGACAAAGTACAGAAGACCTGCCAAGCTCTGTGATACAACTTGATGTGGGATATTTGTTCTCTTCCATTTTAATGGAGCGAATTATCCCTAAAGACTGATAAAGCCCCAGCTGATGTAATTTCAGGGACTAAATGAAGGGAGGAAAATCCAGGAAATATTTAAGTAATTATCCACTTCTTTTTGCTCTTGAAAAGAGATGTGGCTTCAACAGCTGAAGAAATGCAAGTGATCTCAGTAAAACTTAGCAACTAACCCTAGCCATGTTTGAACTACAGTGAGACCATTTCTCAGTGATACCACAATTAGACCTATTAATCTCGCACTTTAGAACCTGAAATCACACTGACACGCAGCACATGGGTTTATGTATTAACAAAATTTAGCAGTTCAACCTTATTTAATTCCTCTTTTACAGCCAATTAAACAAGCTCTTTAAACAAGCCGTGCTTGAAACTCTGTCCTCAATCCTCACATGCAATTAAACTGAACATGAGAAGTGCCTGGTGACACCAAAAGAGCATCATCTTTAGGTCTCACTAAATCATTCATCATTTACCCATCGAGTTACGTACAAAAGGCAGCGATAAAATAACAGCTGCTGAATTGCAACCTTCAATAAAAAGCCATGGCATTTCAAAGGGGTTTCTATAAGGAAAACTTTGGAATGATAAAGTAATATCGATATTTCATGCGCTTTATCACATCTCCCACAATTTATGCGCATACTTCAAGTACCTTTTCCTTTTCATAATGTTTTCCTCTTGGTTTTTTTAAGGCAATGGACCAAAGCTAATCAAAAAGCTCACAATAATTCGGCAGGAAATTCAGCTTCAAGTGCAAAAGCGGCACAGCAATTTTGGTAATGGCATTACAGAAAAGACGAGGCAAATAGGTGATTTCTGTTGATATCTTTAGTCTCTAGAAAATTAAGAAAAGACCAATCTCATCAAGTGTTAGGAATCTCTGATTCCCTCTCTAAATCCCTCACCTGTAAATACTCTTTATGTAGATAGATTGAAACATCCTTCAAAATGGTTTTCTTAAAGTTTTTAGACATTGCCTGAGGCTAAGGACTGGTCCCTGCTTTATCAACTGTTTGTGCAAATATGAACCCCAAAGTATTTGATTTACTGAAGAAACCATTTATATATTAGGGGGAAAAAAACAAACCCAAAGCCATTTCCCACCTCTGACCACAATAACCACTTAGAGTTATCGACATGTACTTAAAATCACAAGAAAAGCTTGTTTTGGAATAATGGAAGTGAGAATAGGCAATAATTAGATTTCAAAGCCTGAAAATACCCCACTGCAACAGAGGAAGGAGAGATTCCTCCTTGATGGGAATCTTATCACATGAATGACAATGAATAACAACCTACTGGGCTTCCTATACGGAATGGAAATCCCTCCAAATCATGCTTAAATCAGACTTGGAGTCAATGGTCATCCTGTCCCTCTTGCTCAAGGGACAGATGAATTCAGTCTTCAACATACTCTGCACCATTAACCAGTACAAAGAGTCTATATATACACCAGAGAATATTAAACAGTTCATGATACTAGAAGATAAAATCATTATCTTACAGTTAAGAACTTCATTTGTATCATTATCAGCAGCTCAAAAAGGCCTATTCTTTTGTTGCTCATGAAAACCCAAAACAAAACACAAACTGGAAGAAAATCCCTCCCTGAATCTAAAAATCTCCACAGAATAATGCATTTTATACAGCAATTTTTGGTTACTGATAGACTAAAAGGTTGTAAAAACTTCTCTCTGTATCCTTACTAAAATGACAAATGGAACCTTCTGCCTACCGGATGAACCGGGATGAAAGGGAAGAGCCCAAGGCTAAGGGTCAGAGGCACTTTGATCCATCAATTACTGTATCTTCATTTAACTATCCTCAGCACTAATAAAACTTATTTAATTTGACCTTCTGACCACTGTTCAGGGCAAAGGGAAGTTGCTCATTTAAATCTTTCACATCATGCAAGCACAGGGTGAATACTATTGCAATGCAAAGCTGGAGGTACATTTTTGGTGCTCCATTGGAGAAATAAAGTTAAGGAATGGATGTTCTGAATAGTTCATGCATCTTATCAAATATTAATTAACTAGTATCCTACTAACTGCACATCTAATTTCTATGCAGCTTATGGTTACTATGCCCTGGCTTCCAAAATCTACAAAACTCTCTCATTTCAACAACCAGCACAGATTGATGAGATCTGTAATAGTAGGAAGGGGAATTATGGTGCAATTTAATGTGGATAAGAACTCAATTAGGTGCCAGGCTTAAAAATAACTGGAGAAAAGACTTACTTGTACCGAGATGACACTTCATCAGCAGCTTTCTGGTATTGCTCTGTGGTAACTTTGTAGAACTGGGCACTCTGGAAAATTGGAAAAACCCCAAATAAATACAGATTTCATGTAATACCATTTATATACATGCTAGTATCTAGTAAACAAAGCTAATTTGGGTATTTATCCATTTAAATTGCTCAAAAAAACCCCAAACCTAACCCTCAAATCAAGTATTCTGCAAAGTTTCAGAGATAGAATCACAGAATCTTTAAGGTTGGAAAAGACCTGTAAGATCACTGAGTCCAACTGTTAACCCAGCACTGCTAAGTCCACCATTAAACCATGTGCCTAAGTGCCACATCTGTCTTTTAGATATGTCCCTGGATGGTGACTCCATGACCTTTTTTCTTTGTATTTGTTAAACTATGTGTGTCGTCTTGGTTCTGGAAGGTTATACAAAATAAATGGCTCTTACAGAGGAAACTATCATGAGACACGTAGTAAGAATCACATATTTAGCACTAGGTGCTGCTGGAGCTTTTGAAATATCTCCATTAGAAGAAAAACAACCAAAATACTTAATCCTTATTTCTCTGCATGTCTCTGTGTTACTGACACATGTATCTCTATCTAGTTTGCAGCCAAGTCAATCTTCAAAGTTGCGCAATAAATTAACTACAGCTTTATTTTCTCTTTTGCTCTTTGCCTTTTGTAGTGAGTTATTTTAAAATAACAAACTTCCAGGTCACTTCAATCAGTTGCTAATGTTTATTTTTAAAATCAGGCAGCTTCACAACTTATTTTCATCTCGCCTAAAGCCAGGAATGCCCTTCACTCAGTTCGCCCAAGGCAAGTCAAGATTGAAGCACCACGTGACAGAACTTCTCAATATTTAAAAGTTTCTCAGGGATGTAGGATATTGGGTGCCTTGGGAGGCAGCCCTGAAAGGTAGAGGAGTCCATGAAGGTTGGATTCTTCAAGAAGGAAGTCTTCAAGGAACAGGAGCAGGTCATCCCCATGGAGCCAGCGGACATGGTTTAGTGGTGGACTTGGCAGTGTGAAGTTAACAGTTGAACTTGATGATCTTAAATGTCTTTTCCAACCTAAATGATTCTATGGTTCTGTATTCAAAGACAAATCCCTATAATGTTGTGACACTTCATGTCTAGATAATATATACTTGGTATTTTTCCTGAGGTTTTTATAGCCTTAGCACAGCTGGACTTAAGATGCAATGACTAAGGCACCTGGCTTCACAGATGAAGGAATAAAGACAAGTAAAAGCAGTTCAAAACATCTCTAAACCCATTTTTCTCTCAATGGTGGGGCAAACAGGTCAGGGAGATGTATAAAGGTTTTGTTGGCACTTGAGAGAATTCTTCCACTGCTTTGTTACTCTTGAGACATCTGGCATTCCATGTTAACATGGCAACAAAACTCTGCCAATCCCACACATTACATACAGACCATTCTGACCCTTATTTTAACGATCTACCTGTTTATACCATGGTTTAAAGTTATTTATGCCACAACATTGATCTTTAAAATATTTCACATACACGCATGGCACAATGCAGTCCATGGAAAGCATCATTTATTTTGGGTAAAGTAAGCAGGTTTATGCATTTATGACATTGATGTATGAAATAGCAACATGCCTAAAACATTGTTAGGGAATAAAATATGAAACCCCCTGTAATTGGAGAGGTCACTCTCGTAAAAGTCAAAAGATGACATAGTCTTGTTGATCATTGGGTTAGTAAACATGTCCTGAGCAACATTTATCTGTGCCAAGTGATGTTATGAGAAATGCAATTAAAAGATCCCCCTACAGCAGAGACACTTGAGGGAAACTCCAATAGAGGCAGCTTTATGTACAAGAATAAAAGCAAAACTCATCTTAACTTTCCATTTGAGCATCTCATCTCCTGAGGTTCTTCCTTGTGAATTCTAATCTTGGTAGGCACAGAACTCACTGACAAAGAATCCCAACTCCAGACACAAAATTGCATTGCAAGTCTAATATTTTACCACAAATTATAACGAATTGTGTAACATTCACTGCAGGCAAAGGTCATACACAGATCACAAAGAACACGGTGGCCTCACTGCACCTCTGTTGCTGAGGTTCAGACCTCATCATTCATTTGCACTGCAATGGAGGTTTCCACACATGTAACTTGGGGTCATTTATTTTTTCATAAATCATTGTTGGCCAGTGAGAAAATGAAAATGAAATCCTCCTCACACCAGTGACCCCCTCGCATTTAGCAATCTCAGCTGCCCAATGACAGTCACATCCAGGTTCCCTGCATGTAGATGGAATCAATAGGTATGCGATCAGACAGCAGACTGACTACGGTGTGAGTGTGGACAGGCCACCGTTTGAGATGATGAATAGCTCTCTATCATCCTCCAGTCCCCTACCATGCTAACATTTACTGTAATGTTATTTGGGCTGCGATTTATCTTTCTTTTCCCTGATCAATAAAGATGAACACAACAGTTGTAAGGATTGATTGCAATTTTTTATCATTTTCAAGCATGAAGGAGCATTTCTGACACAAAAACAATATTCTGAGGGTACTTGTTCTACTTTTTAATTGCAGCTCAAGTGATCACCTGAGCTGCTATGTATGCCATGAGGTTTTAATCCCACACTAGAGTCGAGCTATCAAGAAATCCTTTATTATCTTAAAGGCTGCTGTATTTCTTGAATCAGATCTTCCTTTGAAATTCATTCAGGTTCTTTTAGAGATATACTCCATAAGCCAGAGATGAAGTTTCATTTTGTAAGTCCTCCCTAATCTGCAGATAGAGTTCAGTGGTCATTCCTCTAAGTATGAAGAACTATAACATAGCACTGTTAACATCATACCAATCTCCAGATAAATGCATTTATGTGTCCTGTGGTACATATAGTCTGCATATTCATGTTCTGTTTAACTCAGAGTGGAGATAAAAAGCTACGGTCCAATTCTCAGGTTAGCAGCAGTGGCAAACTATCAGAGAGCAGCTGTATCAGGCCTGTGGATCTTCACACATTCCAGCAGATACCCCAAAGTGTGCATGGGTGGGGAGGACAGAGGGAAGGGAACAGAAATGACTCATGAAGTTCAACAAGCAAAGTGCAAGGTCCTGCACATGGGTCACTGCAATGCCAAGCACAAATACAGGCTGGGCAAAGGATGTATTCTGTGTTGTGTTAATTTAAGCTCAGATACAGGCTGGGCAGAGGATGGGTTGAGAGCAGCCCTGAGGAGAAGGACTTGGAGGTGTTGGCTGATGAGAAGCTCAACATGACCTGGCAATATCAACTGCATCCTGGGCTGCATCAAAGCAGCATAAGCAGCGGGTTGAGGGAGGCAATTCTCCCCCTCTACTCCACCCTTGTGAGATGCCACCTGGAGTTCCAGTTAACTTCTTAGCTTAAGTCTCCTATTCCTCTGAGTCTCACAGCACTGACACAGCACATCGTACTTGAGCTGTCTTCTTGCCATCGGGGCTTTGCACTTACCAATGTGTATTTTGATAATCCAAGAGTGACAGTCTTCAAAGAACAAGTGATCCTCAACCTTCACTAGTATTTGGGCAGCAACATCAAGCAGATAAATACACTGTGGGAAACACTATTCTTCTCTGCTTACCCCCCTGGGTCTGTATGGCAGAAGATTTTGGTAAGGTAAGCATATTCTGAGACAGAGGGCGGAAACAACTGTATCAATGTATGTATAAACTCATGTTTTTATAGGAATATCAATTGTCCTACTAAAGTAAGAGAAGTTTAGGCAGATTTTCCAGGGACTGGTAAAAACCAGAACCTACAAAGCATCCAAACTCTGCTTAATTTTAGCTTCCTCAAAGAAAATTCTGCAAATGCAAAGTTCCAAAGTTACCTATTAATCATCTTTTTAAATATTGCATCATTGTGTTAGTTACCACGCACTTCTGTTGAAGAACTTGAAAAACCTCCTTGTGTTTAGTCAAGCAACTAATTTCAAGTGTGACTTTAATCTAATTGTCCTGAATAGGACCTCCACATGTTAAATTAGTTACTTGTTTATGGCCTGAAAATCACACATAGGTTGCAACCAAATTGAGTGACAAGTAGTGTTTTCTATGCCTTTCAATTCTTAGAATCATGGAATAGGGTCAGAAAGGACCTTAAAGCTCACCCAGTTCCAACCCCTGCCCCGGGCAGGGACACCTTCCACTAGAGCAGGTTGCTCCAAGCCCCTGTGTCCAACCTGGCCTTGAACACTGCCAGGGATGGGGCAGCCACAGCTTCTCTGGGCACCCTGTGCCAGCGCCTCAGCACCCTCACAGGGAAGAGCTTCTGCCATATCTCCAACCTGAACTACCCCTGTTTCAGTTTGAACCCACCACCCCTTGTCCTGTCACTAAGCTCCAAATGAAGTGTACCCTTCTAAAAGAAAGATGGAGAACAGTTGTTCATGAGGAGGAAGTGCCTTTTCAGAGCTACCTTGAAAGAAGGGGAAGGAGAGAATGTTAAGCTGGCTTTGTGGAAGAGAAGCTAAAGAAAAGAGGACTTGAATTTTAAATCTACCCAATTTCCCCTGAAAAAAACACAGAGCCAGAGCAAGTATAAATGATGCTATAATTCAGGTAGAGCAAAATGAGACCTGACCATGGGCACAAGTATTTTCATCATGTTTGCCCCTGAATTAATCTTCTCTGAACAAAAGTAAGAGCAGAAGCTTCTTAAAGAGCACATTGTGGAGGAACAGGAGCAGAATTATTTTGCCAGCCAGCTCTGATTTCAAAGGACTGGGTAAGAAACTACATTCCTGCAGAACCTCAGGTCAGCTATTTTGTCTGCATGTGGGACCTCAAAGCACGCTGCAGTTTTGACTCGGTGCTGAAAATCTTCAGATTTGCAGCCAGGGAAAGTTCTGAAAGCTCTCGTGTCATCCGAGCTGATAAAAGGTTATCAAAAGAACCGGGGGAACTTGAGAATCCTCATTTAATTTCACTAAAGACACATCACCTGGATGCACTGTTTTATTCCACATGTGCTGAAACTGTTTTTACCGCAGACATACCACGACTTATTTTGGCACTG